CTAATAGTAGAAGGGCTACCACCATAGGAGAAAGGACATGGTTTGGTGCAGATATAGAAGCAGCTCCAACCATTTCAATATCTTCACTTCCTATCAATCTTGTTGCTCCTTGTGGTGGTAAATTGAATTGATGCATCGCAAGCATTAACTCCTTCAATTGTTCTTGCATTTGTGCCATTGCATTCTTCATTTCAACAAATTCTGTCATGATAACACTTAGAAAAGAGAAGATGTCTAATATCGCTCAAGACAAATAGAAGAGAGGACTTGAGAACAAAGAAAATACTAAGGACAATATCAGTTTAGAAGAGGGTAATCCGCAACTTCTAATATGCTTATATCTTATCAAGAAAAAGGGATAATCCACTCTTAATCAAGATTAGACAAAGCTCTGATATTGTAGGTGTACTCTTGTCAATCTGTCAAGGACAAGAACTTGATGAAAAAATAATCCAGACAAGTGAGCCTTCACTGAAAGAAAGGTAACAAAATATAAATAAATAAGTATGTATATTAAAAGAGAAACTAGAATGGCTATTGCCAAAAGACAAGAAAACTAGAGACCCTTGAAACTAGACTAGAAGCAAGAAAGGAGTTGACAAGAGTGAAGAAGACTTCATTCTTATCTCTATATATACTATCTAACTATGGGCTACGTGGCGACGTTCTATATGACCTTCAATATGTGTTGACTTTGTAGGACACATGCCTTGACTTACATGGCAAGTTTTTCTACGTGTGGGCCACATAGTTAGCTTGATCTTCAAGCTAATAACATGTGTGGCACATGGCCAACTTGTTGACCACGTTTCTAATCCAAAAAGTCAATTAAAGACACCTATGAAATCAAAGCAGCGTCTATGAAGCTTCTAAGAAGCTTCCATATTAAATACTATAGAATTAACTTACTTTTACCCACTTTTACTTACTTCTACCTACTTGTATATGTACTTACTAGCTTATATGAGTATGTCCGTGACACCAACTCACGAAGATGCATGTTCTTCTTGCTCCTCCATTTTGAAATGCCCTTTAAATTTTATGAACCGCTTGTGATCAATAATGAAAATGCCTTGTAGACTTAGAACTTATGAATCAACACAAGAATGAATTATAAAACAAGTTGTGAACTCTACAAAATATGAACCTTTTTGATGAAAATGAAGGTCCATCCATGTGGTTAAGGAGAGCCACCACATGTCTTCTTAAGCAATCTTAATATATAGATATACATACATAAATAGTAGGCAAGCAAGGGATTTTAAATTTCTTTCATAATATTTGTATGCATCTATTATAACTAGGTGTACAAATATATATATATATATATATATATATATATATATTCATAATCTAATCATATTTATTAAAGAATTTTATGTACTACTGATCAAAATAAAATTCAATTTGTATTATAAAAATAGAATCTTTTAAAAGTTTTTAGAATATTAATAATTTTGATATATATATATATATATATATATATATATATATATATATATATATATATATATATATATATATTCATATATCATATATCATATATCATAGACATTATATATTAAAGGAATAAAAATTTTTTTGATTGAATATACTCAAAAAAATAAAAAAATCTTAAAAAACCAAATCATAAGTTTAATTTTTATAATAATAGAAATATCAATTCAAATTCATTTTAATTTAGAGTAACTAACATGGAGGATCTATTGAAACATGTTATAGACTAAAATTGATTAATATAAAACTATTTCAACCACAAAGGCTTTTATAAAGCAAAAAAAAATTGTAATAAAAACTATAATTTTTTCTAAAACTAAAATTAATTTATATTTACACTTTAGTAGAAAATTTTAGTAATAATATTTGTAATTATATGAATGTTATATAAAAATGATTATATTTCTAATTTTTATGATATTATATCTTTACTAATAATTATTATTTACATGGAAATATTAAATCAATCCTATCTTATTTCCATGGTTCAATTGCTATGATTACTACTTTGATTTGGATATAAAAAGCAAATAAATTTATTTATTTGTTTTTGTCTATAACTCTAAGAAAGTTTAAAGGTATAATGAATATTCTTAATAAGGAGATAGATGGTGAAGATATGCCCTAATAGTATGCATATATTAAAAAAAAATCCTAGTCAATTTAATATTTGGGTGAGATGATTTGATTTTCTCCTACCTATTTAAGATTAGTATACTATTTTATTTATTTTAAAACACACACACACACACACACATATATATATATATATATATATATACATATTTTTATATTAATAAGAATTCTTTAGACTTCAAAATTTAATTATTTTAAACTTTTTTAATACATTAATTTTATTTAATGGGAGAGTTATTAGAGAAATATGTAGGAGAATTGCTTCATCTATCACCCTATTTGCCTAAATCAATCTATCACGTGATTATTGTGATCTTTGTGCATGTTCAATCAATGAAAATGATTTTCTTTCAAGTTCCACCAAAGCACTCATCTAGTATCCAATGGCAGTTTTTGAAGGTATACAGCCAGAAAAACACAATCGTAAAAAATGAAATGCATGACGGCCATCCAATTAACATATGATAGTTCAATTTATTAAAAGGATGGATTGATCGAAAAAAAATTTAAATAAGTATTTCTTAATAATAATTGTAACTTTCCAACAAGAATCAAATTTGGTTAGACTAACCAACAATGAATGTAGGAACGTCGCTTTATGGATAGAAAGTTAGAATGAAGCCCTAAAAATCCACTCCAAATTTCATAAATAGACTGCATCAATAAATACCCCTAAAAGCCTGTAAGAAAGTTGAGAAAAGGTGTCCAATGCATGCTTCCCTTCCATACCTGCATGCGTCTTTTCATGGTTCCCACGGCAGCCGCCGACACCGCATACGTCAATCATGAAGAACGACACCTGTTTTTACAGATTCGCCGCTCTGATCTCCTCGCATTCGATTCGGCGAAATCGACTCCCCTTTTGTAATGCAGACTGGACCACACATTGTAGTTACGTAGTCTGCGTTGTCGGAAACCCTTGAGGTTTAGAGTGAAGACGGACGATTGTCTCTTCAAAGGCTTTGGGGTCGCTTATCGCACGGGCGTGAACAATTTGTATGGATTGTTTGGGTTCGTCGGCAGTTGCAAGAGAATGAGCGTGGTGAAGAGATTGGGTCAGCGAGATGGGTTCGATTTCTGCAGCTAATTTGGAGCTCATCGCCACACTGGCCTCGCACTGTTTGCAGAGGACGACAGAGAGCGTGAAACAAGGGCAAGCCGTGTTGCAGCAAGCCGTCCAACCCTTGCCGTCATGTTTCCCTCCAGGCCCCAACGGTGACGTTGCGCTTGACTTCGCGCGTGATCCTCTTGAATGCCTGGCGTCTCTCAAGTCTCGTTATGGGAGCCTCGTTGGGTTTAAACTGGCGTCTCGGCCTATTGTCCTCGTTAGCTCTCCGTATGGACTCTACCCTTGTCTCATTTTGAAGCCTGCAGAGTTCATGAGTTGCAAGATAAGTGAAGTAGTCCTCCATCGCATGATCTTTGTATTTTCAAGCCGCTCATTACGATGTCTGGAGTATAGACTGTGCATTGAATACCGAATTTGAGAAGTAATTTGGTGGATTTATTTTATGCAGGAATTTTTCTAGGGAAGTGTTTGTTACTCAGAGCAGCACCTTCATTAAGGTCATCCTCTTCTCTTCGTAGACAGGCATTTGTGGAACTGATCAACCTGTAATGGAAACGATCAGTTCTCTCTTACATCCATCCTACCGACTATGATTTACATTAGAATTTTCCAGTATCAGATACAGTAATTTCATTTCCATTGACCATATAGGTTGCATCCTGACAGGCAGGAACAGCCTTCTTTCCGGGTAGTAGTCTTGCCGGGAACGGCCTGCTTGTGAGTGATGGAGATATCTGGAAACGGCAGCGTCGACTTTCAAATCCAGCCTTTAGAAGAGCCGCTATTCAAACTTACGCCGAGGTCAATTGTCAATCTCAAATTAATCTCTTCAACATCTAGAAATTAGTCAAGTTTTCTTCTGCCCAAAGCACCCAGTGAGACTGAGAGGGAGAATTTTTAGCAGGCCATGGTGAATATTACTGAGAAGATGGTGGACAAGGTCTGGCGAACAGGTGGTGTGCGTGATGTCTATGCAGACTTCAATGAATTAACCATGGAAATCGTAGCATCAGCGCTCTTTGGAGCTTCCGAGGCGTCTGAAGAGATGGCCCAGGTCGGCCCAGCCATTACTCAAGCATTCCAGTTCTTCACTCGGAGGGCAACTTCTATGTTCATTGGTGTGTGCATTTACTTGGTCTCCTGAAACTACTAATTTCCAGTTTCAGTTGCAGAATATAATGCTGTTTCACTCCAGGTGAAAAATATTAAACGAAATTGCTAATCCATCTATTTGACACTAATTTTAAGATGCCATCTGTCTCTCACATAATGAACTCGGATGAAAATTTGGCTCAGAGTTCCATATGCTTACCAGGAGCTTTTTTACATGGTTTTCGTTGCAGTGCCGGAATGGGTACCTACTTTTGACAATATTCAATATAACAATGCCGTAACCGATTTAAATAAGGTTGTGTTTCGCCTTATCAATGAAAGAAGACGTCAGTTGGCCAACTCATCAGCCCCTCCGAGGAAAGACTTGTTGACAAGGTTGCTGCATGTAAGTGCTTCAATAGCAAACTTTTCTAGTCTCTTTCGATCCTGATCGTTAAAGAACTATATTCATGCTTATCAGGAATCTATTCGTGATTATGGCTGTTGCTTTCTTTTTTACTTTTGATCAGAGTAATGTTGGGATTAGAATGTCAACCAGTAACACAGGATTCGACTTGGCAGGTAACAGATGAGGATGGTTCAGGGATGGATAATCAATCATTGCGCGATGAGCTCATGACTTTTCTTGTTGCGGTGCCTAATCTCAATTCATGTGCTCCTGGGCTTGATTTGGTAGAAGATATCACATGCGCTTCCAGAACCGGCTTCCCAGAGCTGTATCCAGAGAACACAGTTTAGTACATGATTTCTAGCTTTCTATGCGAGTAAGGTCTTCTAAGGTTGCTCATAAGTTAACAGATTCGTTTTCATTCGTTAGCTTACTTTGAATCTGCAGGGGCAAGAGACATCAGCAATCTTGTTAACATGGGCGCTGCTCATGTTTGCTCTCCATCCACATACCCAGGAGCTTGTCTTTCAAGAGATTAGTGAGGTGCTCAATGGACAACTACCTAGGCAGACTGACGTTTCAAAGCTTAGGTTAGTTATCCTTCTAGTGCCCTACCAAAACCTCATCCCATCTTGTTAACACGATGTTGGCCGCAAGGTTACTTTGTATATGCTCAGTGAAGACCTCTGAAATGGCTTTCATCCACAGCGCCCGAAACTGTGCCGCAGATACCTGGAAGCATTCATCTGGGAGACGCTGCGGCTAATGCCTCCAGCATACGTTGTGGGCAGATGTGCTTGCCATCCTACTGAACTGGGAGGTTATAAAATTCCTCAAGGTACAACAATTCTAGTGAGTCCGTATCTACTGCACCAAGATCCAGCTTTCTGGCCAAGGTAATAGTTGCTGACTGGTCCTCAGATATGACATCACCCGTAACCTTTGCCAGAGTCATTCTTGGTGAGAAATTTTGTAAACTCAGTAGTTTGTTTGCAGAAGTGCCTCCTGTTAGTTTGAAGCGTAGTTACTCGTTTTTCTAGTTTTTCGTGAAAGCCCCTCGAATCCCTAACCTCATTTGTAATGACTCTTTGCAGAGTATCGGAATTTGACCCCTCAAGGTGGATGCCTGGTGGAGATGCAACGGAACATATGGAGAATGATAGTTTCTGGCCGTTCGGAGGCGGTCCCCGAAATTGCATAGGCATGGGCTTTGCAATGATGGAGGTCACTTTGGTGAGTTCCCGAGCACGTGAAGATATTTGTTTATGATACTTACCATTAGCTTCCGACGTGATTTAGCTTCATATGAATATACCCAGTAGTGTTGTTTTGAAACTTACCAGAATCTTCATGGAGCAGGTTCTTGCCGTCATCTCAAGCCGCTTCAGAGTGTCGTTGCCGGTAGGCGAGCCCATACCCTCGCCCAGAGCCATGATTACGTTGCGCCCAGAGAGTGAAGTCAAGCTTCGATTAACATCAAGACGACAACAGAGGCAACGGAAATCTGAAGCTGCTGATGAAATGAAGGTTATTGTCTGCCTGAATTAAGTAATATTCCGTGATATTGCACGGGAAGTCATGTCAGCTCAGTTTACATTTAATTCATTGATCCGATACTGCTACTCATTTCAGCACAACTTTTTCAGCGTCTAGCGCAAGTGTAAACTTGTTAAGCAGAGTTGAATCATGAACATGAGGACTAGATATTTGTTATCGTCCAGGCTTGAGGATACAATCCACCTGTAGGCAAGGCTAAAATTTTGTTCACATTGTGTAAAGTCCCATCGTCTAGAACGCCTGCGTGTGCTTAGGACTCTCAAATGATTCTGAATTTAGAATAGTGGGTTCCCCTTTCATGTGGATGTGGCTTAACATATTCAGCTCTCAAATGATGGATCATAACTATGAACACTGTGGACTTCCGAGTGTCCGATGTGTGATTTCTACTTTTGTCATCGAATGAGAAATGATACCAGCATAAATTTGACGCCTTTTGTCGACAACTGCAAGCGGCACGATGGCTTTAGCATTTCAAGATAACATTTTTAATCTGCCGATGAGTACTAAAAAAGGAGTAGGAGAGAGGAATATTAGAAGCCCACTTAGAAAATCTTTGATAGTAAAGCCATCTTTTGAAAGTTATGGTAAATTGATATATTTTAAAGTGGGAAGAAGTCGTAAAACGTAATAAATCATTTTTTATGCAAGTTTAAACAAGTCTATTTATGTTTTAATGTGAATAATTTTTATTATTATGATTAATTTTAATGTGAATAATCATAAAAATTATAATACAAATGTGTAAGGATTTGTTGAATTAATCCATGCATTTACTAAATCAATACACCTTTCATCATTGATTGAAGATGCAACTATTTTTTTTTATTGGTTTTTGACCAATGTGGATTTGGAAGTGGAGAATTTTTTGATGATGGTTTTGGAGAGTAAATTTAGTAAATTCTTAAGTCAATTCATCAATTCTTTGTATATATTATATTGTTTGAAGTAGTTTTGACAAAGCTTCTTGAATTCAACAAAAACATATCTCTTTGGATACTTTAAGTTCAATGAAACTTTTTGGAAATAATAATATTAATGTTATACAAGAAAAAAATGCATTGCTTCTTATTTTATCTTTTTAGGGCTTTTAGATGGATTTTATTTAGTATTAAGTTAATGAAGTGAAGCTTTTCAATTAATTAAAAGATTTTAAAGTGTAGTTTTTTACATTGCCTTCTAAGTATTAAGACTCTTTAGATGTTTAGGTTAAAGCTTAAAAATTTATTGAAATAATTATAATGAACAAATATATGTAGACATTTCAACAACTTTTAAGATAAAAAAGTTTGTTTAATATAATAATATCTTACAAAAAAAAAATTTATAAGCTTCATAAATGTGGTTTCATCTTCACATATATCTATAGGTGATTAGTAGATTGAATACTTGGCTAATAAATTAGCTACATATTGCACGTGTTAGTAGCTTGTTGTGCAAGCTAACCATGTGGTGCACATATAGGAAACTTGCATGACAAGTAAAATACATGTCTTATAAATTGGATACATTTCAGAGGTATAATAGAATGTCATCATGTAGCTCCTAGTTAGAGAGTATATATGGAGGCAAGAGTGAAGACTTCTTTACTCTTATCAACGTCTTTCTAATACTTAGTCTTGTTTCAAGACTTTCTAGTCATTTTTATCTTTGGAAATAATTAAATGTCTTAATAAATGAAAAAAGGTAGAGAGAGGCTCAACATCCAAGGTTAAGTCTAAGAGTTGCATTCTATGCCCTTTAATCACATAGTATATTGTCTATTTTATAAGAAATACATAGCATTTGTATTCTTAAATTTTTAAATTACTTTTAAATTTTATTTTGAAGATTCTATTTTAAAGAAAAAACTCCTATAAAAATTAATTTTTAGAAGTCCATTTCTTTAATATATTACTTCCAAAGCAAAACAAGGTTTTAATATTTTTTTAGGTTTATAATAAAGAACTATATATGGTCTATTTTATGATTTTTTTTTTTTAATTTTTTTTTTTACTTTATTTTGTACTTAAATGCCAAAAGATATATATATATTTTAAAAAAAATAAAAGTTAAGTAGAAGTTTTTTGTGAAACTTTTATACTATAGCATTCTAAAATAGACTTCTATTTTACATAAAGCATTTTTTTCACCTTTTATCCTCTTGATGTCTCCAACCACTATTTTACAGTATGTTTTAAATGACAATGGTTTTGATTTTTGTAAGTTTTATTATTAAATTTTTTTTTAAAAATTAATTTTTATTTAATTCTAATGTATATCATTAATCACATACTGGATTAATAATAATACAAAATCATAAATAAATAATGAAATCCAAATAATTATTTTAAAGGATGTTTTTTTTCTTTACTTTTCTTTCTTAAAAACTATATGTTTTTCAACATTAGATGTTAGAATCTATATTTATTCTATTTTCAGTTCATTGAAAAAAAATAATAATTTGACATAATTGTATTTGTATCTATCTATCCATATATGATTAATTAAATTAATTATTATAAATTTTATAAATAATAATAATTTAAGAATCATTAAAATATTAATTAAAATTATATTATGTATGTATAGGAAAAATTATAAGACACTATATACGTTCTTTAAAAGAATTACATTGATTATGGTTTTGAACAGAGAAGTTTTGATGAGCATGAAAAATTCCTTTTAGTTTTTATTATACATTGTAACTATCTAAAATGTAAATTTTAATTTCTAAAATAAAATGTAATTTTTCTGATGTTTTGGAAGCAAAACTTGACAACCAATTCTTCAAGATCATTGACCTTTGTTGCTAAAAACGTAATTAATCAAATATCTAAAAAACCCAAAATTCCTACCAAAATTTTAAAATTGATATAAAATTAATATAAAAATTCAATAAACTGTTTTTGGAAATGGAAACAAAATGTCCAAATTTTGAACTAAAGTTTTTGAATCGATGCCCAAGGCAGTGTGAAAAGCGATATTGGCCAGACGTGGCAGTGGTAGACAAGACCTGGGACTTCAGTTATAAAGGATGTGGATTGACACCTGGGGAGTTGCCACTCCTCTAAAGCCCTAAACCTCCCACACAAACCCATGAAGCCTGGCTATGGCGTAACTCTCACAACGCAACCGGTGACTGAAGGACATTCGCGGGAGCTGTAATGTGGGGCGCCAGGGGAGCGCGCCTGGGGCGCAACCTAGGCTGCATTCGTAGAGGAGTCGGATCGTCGGGGCAACAGAGTGTCCGTGATTCATCGTCGCCATGGCTGAGTGTGGAATCATCTCCGCTGCGGGGTGTCACGGCTCGGTCGTTGTCGACGGAGGCATCATCAGCATTTACGGGGGAGGCGCGTTTCAGGGCTACGGGTGGAGTGGTTCAGAGTTGGAAGCACGTAAGGTATTTTTCTCAAGGTGCAGCTGTGGTGTTGGAAGGCGATTCTAGTGAGACTGAGCAGTTGTTGCCAAAAGAGGAGGAGAAAGCAGAGGAGGTCATTCTAGGGTTTCCTCGCCATGGCTCTGGAAAGATAGTGAGTAAGAAGGAGCGGCGTGTGGGGCGGGTGCCGAGTATTGTGTTTTCTCAAGAGAATGGGCATATCGGTGGTAACAAGCAATTGATATCTGTGGAGACGAAGCAGATAGAGAGGTTAATTAAGCGACTCGGCAAGAGTTCTTTCTTATCTAGCACTTTTGATCTTGAGGTTTATGATGACCAGGGCAATGTGCAGGCAAAGGAACGCGTGTTGCCGCGATCTATTCATCTTCATGCTGGAACAGACAAAGTTATGAACGTCACGTTCATTAGAGCGCCTCCTACCGCCTCTCTTAAGGTGGACGTGCCTTTGATCTTCATCGGTGAAGATGCCTGTCCTGGCATTCGGAAGGGCGGGTATATTTACACCATGATGAGAACAGTAAAATACAGGTGCCCAGGAAATTCTATTCCCTCTGGCATTGAAGTGGACCTTAGCACTCTTGATATGGGAGAAAAGATCCTTCTTAGGGATCTTAACGTGCCTTCTGAGTTGAGGTTGGTGAAAAAGGATAGCTCTCTTCCCGTCTGCAAAGTCATGGGCTCCCGCACTTCATCAGCTGCAGCGTCCGCCGATGCAGCATCTTAATTGCAGGTGTTTCATAGCACCCCATTTGCATTCGTTCTAGTGGTAGCTCTGTGGGTTCTCGCAATCAGTCCCAAACGCTTCATGCCAGGATTATGTGCTAATCAATTTCACATTCTAGCCGTGGTCTGCTTGTCTGTCATCTCTGCCAATTCTGCAACAGATGGAGACATGATGTACTTCTTTTGATTCAGAAGTACCCTCTTAAGGCTTCTCAATAGGTTTTCCCACCTCTGGAATTAGTGTACAGGCTTGGAGCAGCTGGATTGCCTTACTGTGCAGAATGAGTGGAAACAAACTTAGCTGGATCAATTCTGTTTACGGCTGGCTCTGTTACGTCCTATTCAATCCAGGGTCGCGATTATCAGAAATGTGAGCTCTAGACATAATTTGAAGGTCATGAGGCGTGTCAGACTTGATCTTGAGGTGGTGATGATGTCCCTTTAAGTTAGAAGTAAACAATACTGCATCGCTTCTGTTTATTCAGAGTAATGCAATAATACTGTCATCATGAGTCAATGCTTTTATGCATGTACAGAGGTGGATGATCGTCATGCAATCTCGAACCAGATGCAGGAGCCCCGAGGTTCCATTGTCAAATGCTAACTTCAGTGCCATGTGTTATGATTTTGTCTGATTATGTAGTGCTCGTTTAATTTTGACCTGATTGTCCTATCCATCGGCGTTTTATGCTTGTGAGTGAAGTCGCACTCAATTGTGACACTTAACCCCAATGTAACAGGATGTGATTCATCTAGATTGTGTTTTGAAATTAATGTAAAGCGTTTGTAGTGTTGCAATTGTGGGTACTGAGTAATTCAGTATGCTCTCATTTCCATCACGCAGTTTTGAAATAGAAAGTTCAGCACCATTGTCAGCAGTCTAAGACTCAATCATGTAAGTGACTAATGCTGCAAAAACTCAATAGTATCCATGAATTCAACATGATTGAGTCATATTCTTGTTTAGTACACTAGTAAGTTTGCTATAAATTCAGCAGTTTCAAAATATGATAATTCGAAAATGTCGATGTACACGTTTTCACTTTCACTACATTGATTAAAATCATAAATGTATTAGGATACATCATGAACCTAATGTCTACATGACAGGGCGTGCGCTCGGATGTTGTACAAATATGCCCAAGAAAAGTATTTTGTTTACTTCAGTTTAAACATATTACACATGTAATCAAATTCCTTCTAGGTTTTGTTGGTTTTGAGCAGTGGACCGTGTTGGTTATTGTTATTTATACCATGCATGATAACCATCGTCTTTCTCGTGAATTGGATAGAAATGAAAGAAGATAAATCAACATAGATAGTGTTTGCACCCTTGAGTGGTTTTTTCACGTACATGTTCTTGTAAAGATGTAACTAGTTTCCAAGTTCCTCCAACTGAAACCAATTTTTTCCTCTCCAATTTTACTATAACACTGTTGGTGGCAGAGCGAGTTAACTGAACAACCTTACAGGTACAGCTGAGTAATGGTACACAGCACTTGAAAAGAACTTCCGTGTGGTGACCCATTTTTCAGGATGTGTGATCTCGATGTCTCGAAACAAGACAACTGCTGCTGAGCAGATATAATAACGATTTGGAGGATAGAGCACCAGACATGAGGTCAATGTTGTTCTATGGTGTCTGCAGCCAAACACTAAACAAGCACTTAAAACTAGTGCTTTGAAACTGTTAGCGAAATCTGATCCGAATGAAGTTTCAATGCCAGAGGGAGACACATGACAAAATCTGACCCACCTCCAGACTTTGCTTCTGCCCGTTCAGAATATATAGCTTCTTCCAAATCCGTCCATCACGTCCTTTACTATTGAGTGTCTTGTGATTTATTATTCTTACTGGAAAAGAGGTCGTTGTCTTGAAGGGTTTTCTCTGACATGGTTAGAAAAACTAGCAAATTGTGCTGCAGCTCTTTGGTCTTTACCTAGATGTGTCTAATTCAGATAATTGTTCTTTGCGGAATTGAAAACTTATTTCATTGTAGATAACTGCAGACTGAAAAGTGAAAGAACATGGATTTAGTGTTAAACTTGAAAATCTGATTGTGTGAACTTCTATGTTGTTCTATTTTAATTTATCTGAAATTATACAATAAATCGATAAAAATAGAAAATAGAGGGTAAATACAAATTTTGGCTTGTAACTGGTTATGTGATTTATGTTGTGGTTGGGCATGTTTATTTTAAAATTTTAATTTTAATTTTTGGTTGCTGTTTATGGTACTGTATTTCTTTCTTTTCCAAGTTTTCTTTTAATATCATGGTTAGATTTTTCAAAATGAGTATATTAATTTATTTTTCTAATTATTATCAGTTCTAAATTATATTAGTACTTAAAATTGAAATCTATAGAATATCATATTTTATAATTATTTATTTTATAAGATTGTTGTAACCACATCTTCCTTGCCATCTCATGATTAGTTGTGTCCATCCCTTGTTCCCAAGTCCCTAGTTCCCCATCTCCATTTTCCAATCTAATATATACAATCATTTAAATAAAATGATTCAAAATTTAATTATATTACAATTAATTTCTTATAAATTCACATTCAAATATAAAATTTGGAATGTACAAAAGTTAATCAATTATTATTTTACTTTTAAGATTTTCTTGTGAAATGGCTTGGTAGAAGAAGAAGAAATTCATAAAAATTTAATTTTGATCACTTTTACAATTTTTGTATTATTTTAAAAATCATGTTTATTCAATTTTATTAAAAATTTAAATAAGATCATAATAAAAAAATATTATTTATAAGTACCATAAAAAAATTGAACATATTTTTTAAACTTACAAGCAAAAAAGTGAACAAGCCAAAAATAAATCTATTATTAATCTTTCAACTCTTACTTTAAGTGTAGTTATTTTTATCTTGCAAGTTCTATTGGTCTCAAAAAAAAAAAAAAAAAAAAAAAAAAAAAAAAAATCTAAAAATGATCTTAGCTTTTATCACTTATATATATATATATATATATATATATATATATTATATTTTCAATTACATCATAAATAAAATTAATATGAATTGTACATCTTTATGAATAGATAAATGTCTAGGATGATCTTCCTTAATCTCCATAAATTTGAACTTTTAATATCTAAAAAAAAATTACTATTACATTCTTGAAATATTAAATAAAAGTCTAAATAATCATATAATTATTTTAAATTAAATAATTGTGCTTAATATGTCATTTAAATATATATATATATATATATATATATTATAAGTATTATATTAATTTTTTGGATACTTATATATTTCAATTATAGTTAATTTATTTTAATGATTTGTTTATTATTTAGAATTATAACTTTGTGATTTTTAATTTTAAATACATATTCAAGAAAATCACACTTTAATCATTTAAACATTTACAGAAGTTTCAATAAACTATTTTAGAAGTTTTATATTTATGTAATAGTAGTGTTAGGAATGGGATTGTGGAAATAGGAGATTGGAGAATGGGAGCAAGGGATTGGGGAATGGAGGACTAGGAACTAGAAATGAGGAATGGAGATGGGGGATAGATAAAATCAATGATGAGATGGCAAAGGAGATGTGGCTTTAACAGTATTGGAGTGTGGCTTTATCAACTTTCCATACATGTCTCTTAAAATATTTTATTCTATTCAAAATTTATAAAAAATAATAATAATAAATTACAAGATTTTTGAAATCATATAGAATACGTTTTTTTTTTTAAAAAAATAAATATATAAATTCTAAAATAAGATAAGATTTAAAATAGTTGCAAAAAATCATAAATTGTACTTAGATTTAATTTTGCTTGTTTATATTGAGCCACTCTGATTTAATAAAAATATACTTTACGGTGGTAATAATTTACTATGTTATTTTTTGGCTCAAAAAAGAAAAATAATCCAAATTTCATTTAAAAATCAAAAAGTAGAAAAATATATTAAACTATTTTCACTAATAACTTTGTGATATTAAATTATAAACTTATGTTACACTGATTTATTTCTCACAAACATTTCTAAAAAAGTTGACACAAAATCAGACCTGTAATTATATATTTTTAGTAAATTTAAAAATTGTTATAAAGAAATACTTTTTTTGAGAAAGTAAAGAAACAAACATGTGTAGTTTTTGCAAAACTAAGTAAATAACATTACGTTACATGTAACTTTTTAAGTCATATTAAACGTATAACAATATTTGGTGCGAAAAATTATTGAGTAGATTTTATTCATTTTTCAAGGAGGGAAAATAATTCGTAAGTGAGGATGCTATGTGAGGTGATAAAATATGCTTTTATAGTTTTTGATGTGATAAAAATACTAAAAAGTTTACATTTGAATTTTCGGGCGGGAGAGGGAAGGCTCGATGCTTTGCGAAGTCTAAATTACTAGCGTAGAAGCGCTTGGTTGGAATCGAATATGCTCCTCGAATGCCGCTTTTCTCGAACTTGTTGCACGGTCGATTGTCTCTGACACGTTACATTGCAGATTCATGAGCTTGTTCGATTCCCTAACCGATGAGTTTGTTCGAACAGTCCACATGTGAGACACCAGGTACTCCTGCAGCAGAATCGATGGCATGTGAGATGGTACTGACCAAGAGATGTGCCTCAACAGCACTGGAGGTCAAGTCCAACGGACAGCTCCGTTTGTTATACCCGAACTTTGGTGAGTTTCTCTTTGCATCTTGAATTTGCGAGTGGCTCTTGAATTAACTCGACATGTCTTGAATCCTTCAGTGTTTTGAATTACCTCTGTGGCGGACGCAGTTCTCGAAGTCTCATTGACTGCGGAACTTCAAAAGTCGATTCTAAGTTCAGAGAAAGGAATGACTCAAGGAGCGTCCAGCGATGTGTTGATTCTGCAATCCTGACGTCTGGGATGGAAGTATTGAGCATTGTCTCAATAAGCTCATTAGGCTTGCGGTGACTTGAAGATTCCCTACAATTTCAAAATCATAATAGAGCGAAACAGCTCAACTCTTTCGATGTTTCTAGCAAATGGTTGAGGCAACATAGCTTGTGCACATTGGACCCAAGGAAGTGTCGGAAGCAGCTCTTGTTTGCACATTAATGGCAATCCGATCGCAAGACAGAAAGATTAGGTTTCTTACAGCAGTAAGTTCTGTAGTTGAGCTATTGACAGGCAGTCACTAATATCCTAAACTTGTTTATACAACTAATTCTATCTTCTTGCCACTTGCAAGGTGATTATATCCTCTTCGCAGTCTTCAACATCGGCCAAAAGATATGGACACAGCTTCCCGATGCATCTGACAAGCTTATTGGAAGAAGAATGAGAGAAAAGAATTGACATAAACTACTGCATCAGAGTTTACCGGCGTCAATTCGACAGCATATGGAAGAGAAAAATGACTTCATACTTGCGCTTCGTTGTATTTTGTGGGAGTTGAGCAATTTATGTCTCGGCGTCGTCGCAGAGATGCCCATAGGGACAGTGGTTGGCCCGGTTTCATGCCTACCTGCATCAGCACCAGTCCACTCGCCATCTGAGAGAATACTGTGGCACGAAACGTATTGGTCATTCCAGTCAGGGCTGCGGCTGCCGGATGAGAGAGCATCTTCAAATATAGAGCTGATTCGAACGGGGTCGGATGGATTTGTGCCTTGAGAGACACTTCTCTCGAACTGAAGGCAAGCCGCCAGTGAAGTAGAACTCGCTGTAACAGCAACTTGCTCGTCTCCTTCCCCGCCCTCTGATGCCTCAAATTCGTGCAAGCTGCTGGAGTTTCGAACACATCCAAGAAACTCTAGGATCCCGCAAGAAGGCAGGAAGTTGCGTCTCCTGTCGGAAAAGACATGGTAGTGTGCGTCTGGATGCATTGAGCGGAAGGAAGAGTCCATAGGTAAGCCTATGAGGCTGCCTAAAGTGATGCGTCGCGAGTCCTTGAAAAAGGACGAGGCTGCTTCAGACCGCGAATCTGTGTCTGAGCTTGACGACACATCTACGTCGGAAAAGAAAGGTAGCAAGAAAGTGGTTTGAAGGTTCATGAATTGCTGGTGGAAGGCGGGAGGTGTTTCGGGGAATTCTTTGCGACTAGGCGTCTGGATAACCATACACGTGGGGAGACCGAAAGGCCATCCCATTGAGGAAGACGAACCCTCAGAAGCATTCGGTACGGGAGCATCACTTTGCACACTCAATTCCATGATGAATATTTCATCCAGTAGACCAATTTTCTACGCTTCTACTCTAACACTGATCAGCGTCTTCGGCCACCACCCGATCAACCTGTGGGAAGTAATTCTGCATCTCTCATGTAGGGCACGTAAGAGCGAACCAAGATCTTCTGAAAATAAATGCTTGTGTAGCAAAGAAAGCCGCCGGGAGAACAAAGGACCCTCTAATAAGTGGTGAGCACAGTGCTGGGACAACGGAATGCAACGCCAGGAGCCGAAACAGAACTGACATCTATTTTTGTGCAAGGATAGCTGTGCCAAGCTTTTTATGCGCTGCAACCTATACCTTGTGCTCTCCAGTCGTTTCCTGCAAAAATCCTCACAAGACTCAGGGTACATAAAGAGAGGGAGAGCTCCAACCTAAGGATAGAAAAGTTGCACAGAAACAGTGATTAATATAGTGGATGAATTCAAGAAACAAACATAAGGATGCAGCACGCAGCAAACACTCCATGGATATACTGACAGAACCGACAACAACCAAGAAGACAAGGCCTCTAGCGAAATGAGTGGATTGCAGTTTGAAGAATTAGCTTGGATGCTGAACTCCCAATAGAGTAAATCAAGACTAGCAGGGAGGAATGCAAATTCCGTGGCACGTAAGTTTCTCAGACTAGAATGCTAGATGCGTTTCTAACAAGTAACCTAAAACGACTAAAAAAATAAAATAAGAATCAGTGCCCCCTCTCTGTCACGTCGCTAATCCGCGATAGTGGAATAGAGAGCCTCGCTGGAGGCGTTCCTGCAACAAATTTGAGTACCCCAAAAATACAATTTAAAAAAAGAAGCACTCTGGCTATGGAAGTACCAACGCCATCTTGAAGCATCCCATGGCACACTTATCGACAATCAGGTGCTCCCAGCCATCTGAGAGCTCCAAGAAGAATCAAGCAACACCCATGGTGCAACCCACTACAACCAACTGCGCAACGTCGAAACACACCTAAAACTTCCTGCAGAAGAAAGGCAAGCTCAAATCACACCCCCGCAGAGCGCCAGTAACGCCCCAAGCTTGACGCAGAATCCACTACACGTCCGATCCAGCTGGGCTCCTTCCACCACCCATGAACTAACAATCATTCTCCTCTTCCACAACCACTCAGCAGCAAACACACCACGGCAAAACAAAAAATAACTAAAAAAAACAACTCCTCCCTCACGTGCGACACACGGCTACTACGCGCATCCTGAAATTGCCCCCTTCTGGGAAATCAACCTCCTCTTCCCCCTGCTGCTCCTCTGCACATTACTCTCTGATGAAGCTGGCGAGACGCAATAAGTGTAGTGAGGGCTACCTAGCTAGCTGCTGCCGTGGGTTAGACTCGCATACATACGATACGAGCGAGTCACTGTTGGGGGTTCAGTGGAGATGGGGACCAGTTTCAGTGGAGGAGTGTTGGCATAATGATGGAGTTTCGATAGTTCGTGTCAGAGGAGGAGGCTGGGCTGACATCGCTGCAGAGCGCGGCAGGCAGGCGTCGTATGCCTCTGTCTCCCCCACCCCTGGTAGGACTCTTGTGACGACGATGATGAGCAAGGCGGGTAAGGCGGGTAAGAGAGAGAGGGGGAGGGAGAGCCGTGAGCTGGGTCAAGGGAATGAGAGCCGCGGGAAGACTGAGGAATGGAATCATCGCGGCGCTGGCTGGGGTGGGGTGCTGTGCCGTAGAGAGCTGGCTGGCACGGGGAGCCGGAGCCACGGCGCCTTCCTTGACAGGGTAACCATCACCCTTCCACATCTCGGAACTAGTCCTCCCTCCCTCCCTCCCTGCACGCACGTAGTTCTCATGGCTCCATTTCTTGGGGTAAAATATATATATATATATATATATATATAATTGAAGGGGTAAAAACAAAACAAAATCTTAAAACCACAACATCAAAACAATAACAAAATCTTACTATTATGGAGCCATCATATTGTTGAGGAGTGATCATTCTGCATGAATCGCGACAAATTATTTAAAAAAACACATTTTGCCCTGAAGTTTGTAACCGTCTATCATGGAAAATACAAAGCGTAGGCAATATCTAATTTGAAGAAATAGTATTGGTGTTTTATTGCTATGCTTGTGATTTGTATGTGTGCAACTGTAGATAATGTACTTTTCCTTTCTTTTTTTTCCATGGTGTGGCATTTCATTGATGCACACTAATTAAATTTTATTTTTTCTTCTTTCTTTTTTGTTGTTGCAATATATATATATATATATATATATATATATATGTGTGTGTGTGTGTGTGTGTGTTTGTATATATAATTTAAAATTCTTACAATATTAAACGAATAAGAAATAATTTAGATTTTCATTTAATATTACAAACATATAACAAATCATAGACTCAAATTTTTTACAGAACTTTATGAAACTTGCTAAAATCTTTAATATTTATATCATTGTACTACTTTAAAAATTGTTAGAATCTGCATGATTTATATGATTCGTGTGTTCTATATCTTTAGAATCTTTAGAAACTTTTAGAATAATTTATATAGTTTTAAGCCCCTTTCTATTTGTTTAGAAGTTTTTTATAAATAAATAAAAAAATAAATAAAAATTACAGTCTTTTATAATAATTTAGAATCCTCTATAGTTTTCTAAGAGTTTCAATAAAAAATAAAAATAAAAATAAAACTCTTTATTCTTTTAAGATATTCCATAATTATTATCATTTTCTCTAGAAGCTCTTAGTAGATCTAATTGTGGTAGTATAAATAAAAGAGCAAGCTAAGGAGGAACTTTAGTCTTATGAATCCAAGTTTTGTTTTTAATATTAAAACTAGTCTTTATTCCAATACAGTACCTTAATTTTTTTGGATTAATTTAGTTTTTATTTTTGTTATTGATGTTCAATAAAAACGGCATATCTTTCATTAGTCATCTTATATTACAAAAATTATATTTAAGAGATTTGTAAAATGGTTTGTGCCTCTACAAGTTAACTTGTTTATTCAGAAAAAAAATTGGGTTGTAATTTACCGCATCATGTTTTGTCCTAGAAACTTCAATTGTTTTAAGTCTATACCATTCACTACTTTAGAAGTTCTTTTCTGATGGCAATATACATAAATATATATATTTATAATAATAATAATAATAATAAAAAGTAAAAGTACAACATAAAAACATTGGTTTCATTGGAACAATTTTGATTTTCTTACTGTCCCACAATCCATCTCTTGCTTAAATATTGTAGTTTGGATGGCTCTTTCACAAATATTAACAATGTGCCTTACAAATATGTTGATATTTAACTGTAAAATGGAACCTGCCCTCAAATTTGCATTGTCATTTTATTTTTAATCTCATTTATGCTTTAAATTTAACTTTTTTAGATTGAATATTTTTTCCAAGTTATATCATCTGATAAACAATAGATAAAACTCACACATGATTTTTCATTATTTATTTATTTATTTTTACATATTGATGGAAACTGTAGAGACAAGTTTGATTTTTGCCACTGATTTGTCCACAGTTTCCAAAGCAATTTGTGATTGTGGTTGGACCCACACAGACACACTAAGAGAATTATTCTTTGTGGGGGAGGCCATCTCATCATGCAGGAGCTGCACATGAAAAGATGGGGCCATCTCTTAGTGTCAGGCAATTCATTTTAGACATGAGAGAATGAACTAGCCATGGATTATAGCTGCAAAGCCAAGCTTCACAAAGCCCACTACTTAGAGTGTTTCAGTTTAAAACAGTCAGAGACAAAAATCATAATAGTTTTATACAGCCTTTGTTTGTTAGACAATTCTACTTCATGAATGCAAAAGGGAAAAGAAAAAAACAGAAACTCAGGTATTTCCAATGTGGTAATAATAATAATAATGATAATACAAATATGCAAAAATAATGGAGTGGAAATAGAAGCCCACCTACTCATTGTGAAAATGATAATGTTTGTGGGTATTGTTTTGTGTCTTCTTTTACACATCTCTTTTGACAAGGGCATGAAGCTTACAACAAAGTTTTGCATTGTTGCACCTCATCTTACTTTTTTTTTTTTCAAAATTGTTGCCTTCAAGTCAAATGATGAAGCTTTGTTTGTTCAGATGGCACAAGGCAGTGATGATTCTATAGTGTCTGTATGTGTGTGTGTATGTATGTGGATATAATTATACTTATATATATATATATATATATATTCATTTCATACCTATATACACAAGTAGGAGAATGAAGTTTTTGGTGTCTGGTGGGATATCAGCAGCTCACAATTTATGAATCTGCTTTACTAAATCTGTTGATTACATCGAAATGTCATGGATTTAATGCAAAATTTATGCCATCAGTAAAAATTCTTGTGTACTGGATATTGTAATATCAAAAAAATTGATTCATCATTGGGTTTGAGTGTAACTTTAAAGACTTTTTCTACAGATGTGATGCATGAGATATAATTGGTGCAGAAGCAAAGTGGGTGTAGTAGTGACAATGTTTCAGTGCTGTAGTTATCAATAGGGTGATGCAAGGACTTGTGTGCAAACAGCATAACTCTGTTCCCAAAAGGAACAGGAACCCTCACCAATTTTTTTTTATTTCTTGTATTTTTTATGTTGCATAAAAAAAAATCTTGTTGAAAACTGCACCCACAAGTGTATATGTGTTACTTTGGTTGTGATTGAATGTTTGGTGGTACCTACTCCTCTGTCAACATCTTATTATATACTTGTTTCATGTTAATTTTAGCTGAGGTGGTTGTGGATGAAATAATTAAGTAAAATAAATCCACCCATAAAATTATTCAATACTGACCTTTTTTTATGATGTAAAACAATGCTTTCTTTGCAACATTACAAATTCTAATTTTAAAAGAACATTAATTTCAACTATTTCAAAAACCAGTAACCATCAAACCTCAATAAAATTTATTACAAAATATATTAAGTTTTGCAAGAATACATGTTTTCATCATGTAATACTATGTAGTAAACATTACTTTCCATAGATTTGTAGAGCTTATATTTGACAGGGGACAAAAACCAGTTACTATGTTACAAACATTTGGAAACCATTCAACATGACTCATTTAATTTACATGGTTTTTTGGGTTTTGTGAGAAAGCATTGAAACCTCCCATAGAAACTGGATTTCACCATCCTTTTCAAAATATATATTGGCATGTGGTTGTTGCATATTTTGAATGGCATTGTCAACATTTGATTTTCCACTTGAACAGGTTCATGATAAAAGCCACATGACAGACTTTACAGTGGATCCTCTTTTTTGTCTTGCTGACATGTCATTTCAATGCAACTGACACAGAAGGAGAGAGTTAAAAAAAAATAGCAATCAATCAATCAAGCAATTCTTCATTTGTTACATTTAAAGTTGTGCAATGGTAACTTCATTCTTGTACTTCCAAGTAATACATTAAATAATACAAGTAAGTTATTCTAACATGAACACAATACAGGTGTTGAAATGGAATATACTATCTACACAACAGAAAATGCAGTTACTATACACATGGTAATCTAGAAGGTACATTGTGATGCAGCAATGTAGAACGGACATAGTAACCACCAGCTACTCTAAAACCCCAACTGACTATATTATGAATTATATTCATATTTGTACAGATAACAAATGTCATTGTATAATTCCACTTCACTAATAATTGTATCAATTAGAAGATGTCAAAGATATAGTGGTGAGGTTGAATAGCTGTGGTAATTGAAATTAGACGATACCGTACACAACACACACACAAACTTCTATAAATAAATAAATAAATAAATAAATACATAATATCCTTTATTGATGGAAATAGATTTCTCAGTGAAGTAAAGAGTAAGAAGCATTTTGGACAACATTTACATAAATTTTCGTCAACCGTGGGTGCGAGCGAGCCGGACCCGGTACCGAAACAGATGGCCTGTGGCCTCGGCGAGTAAATGTCGCCCCGAATTCAGTCGCAGTCGGAGCCAACGAGACCCGAGCTGTTGCGATTGCGAGGCATCTGTTTTGTAGCCGTTGGAACGATCCCTCGATTCTGTTTTCACTGCCAATTTAAGTCACCGATCGCGTAGTTTGTTGCTGATTAGAGCATGCAAGATGGTCGAGGAATCTCGGAGCTCTTACTGGATTGTTGTCAGTGTCTGATTGAGAGGAGGTTGATCAGATTCTGGGTTGGAGGCTTCACATTTCGATGTGATCATTAGACGAAGGTAATTGCTCAGTAGATTATGCCCTTGAATAGATTCCCGTCTGGGTCAATTTTAGAATAACTTCACACTTGAGGGTCAAGGGTGAAGTGGGTGTCGACCGTTTGGGCATAACGA